ATCAACATTATTATCTCTTTAAAATGAAAAATATGTCTGTTATCTACCACATTGTTCAAATTTTCTATCTCTTGTGTGGGCCCCAATAACGACTATATTTTTCATTCTCATTCTATAATAATTTAGCTCAAACAGGTCCTTAATTGAAAATTTAATCTTTTAATTTATTTAAACATTTATATATTGAATCAAACATAGAGTCATGAAATCTAGAACATTTAATAAAGGTAAAGAAAATAAAACTATCGTAACATAATTTATTATGGAATATTTTTTCGAAAATTATACTTAGAAACCTGCGCACCGCTCAGCCACCATCCACGTTCACCGATTAAACCTAAAATGCTAAAATTTTTAAAGAATGAGTAATCTAAACTCAATATGATATATGCGTCCAAAATAATATAATAACTTTTTAAATATAAATTTACAGCATTCCATACCATCATTTCGTCAGGAGCAACGAAGATCAATCGAATGCTCTAACATATTACTATGCAACATTTGAGAAAAATCGAAGGAGATCTCACATTTCATTTCATTTCGTTAAGACCCGTAGGTCAATTAACATTTCATGAAGTAAATTACGCACAAAAAATCATAATATTGCAAGGACATAACAACTTGCACATAGCATCCTACCTCGTTTGATAATACAATTGTTGGAAGAAACTAAGAAATTAACAACCTTTTCGCTGTTGTCTTGTCTATGTGCCAAGAAAAATGTCGAAATTATATTCTATAATAGAGCATGAGTTAACTAATGATTGTCAAATACAAAACAAAATTTTGGATACCTTATGGATTTAGGATTGATTCTGGTTCAACGTGGTGCCCAAACCCAATGCCAAAGTTGTATATATATGGGCTATGTCCTTAAATCTAATGGCACCTAATTAGTTTTTACTAATTAAATAATAAAACGCTTCCTTAAACTTAATGGCATAAAATTAGGTATAAATGGTGTTAATTACAAGACCCATTTTACGTATAATATTTACCTATTTAAATCCTTAAAATCATTTTCTTTCCTATCAATCTACNNATCATTTTCTTTCCTATCAATCTACACATAGCAAAAACATCCCTATCAATTCCTAAAATCAAGACAAATAGAAAAAAAAATTAAACTAGACCTAATTCGAAATATCAAGGCAATGAAAAAAGTAAAAAAATAATTGACAACTTTTCCATCACTTTAGCACGGGTGTTTGACTCATATATTATTGTTATTATTTTTAAATCCTTATATAAAAGAAACCAATTCATAACCACCAATACACCGGTCACCGTCACCCCCTTATATTAATTCATTAATGAATTTAACTAAATGACGATTTAGAACAATGTTTTTCGTCTCCGACAACTTCTGCCTCACTTATTCGAATTAGCTTTTTCTTGAGCCTAATATGTATGATTAATTACAAGCTATCTAGCAAGCCCAATATTGTATATAAATAGTAATGAGATAGTTATATTAAATATTTGACCCGAATAAAATTGAATTTAATATACGTTACTCTAGTTCAGCAACTTTCAAAATATGAAATGTAGTGGATAAAATAAATAAATAAACTTTATTCTGTAAATAAAAATAAATAATTTTATTCTGTAAATTTTCGAGCTCATATTACAACAATATAATCTGTTTAGACGTAGGCTGAAACACTCTTCAACGGAAGATATAACGTTTGGTAAGTGAAAACAATTTATTGTTGGTATAGATGTACTTCCAAGTTAACCAGGTCCTTGCAAATTATATATAAAATGCATAAAGGTAAGTACAAGGATAGCCATGCGACCACATGATATAAGCTTTGAAATCCTAATATGTTATCTAAATGTATTTTTTGGGCAGAAGAAGAAGTGCATTTTTCTTGTGCACGGTGAGTCCTGGTAGGACATCAGTTTCAATATCTTCCATCTTCGTCCCATAAGGCAGTTCCCAATCAAAGGTATACAAAAGATTGGCAAGTGCAAGCTCCAATGATATTAGCCCCATTGACATTCCGGGACATCCCCTACGGCCTCCTCCAAATGGAATCATTGCAAAATCTTCCACTTTTTTACTGTTAATGAATCTTTCAGGCAAGAAGGTATCTGGATTTTGCCATGTTTCAGCATCTCTTGAAATGGCCCAGCCGTTTATAAAAATCCGAGTACCTGATTGAATTTTGTAGCCATTGATTGTACTGCAACAGCCTTCAGTTGTTTCCTTTCGAAATATGAGTGGAGCTGGTGGATACAGCCTCAGAGTCTCCATGATAACTGCTTTTAGATATGGAAGCTTCTTTATATCTTCTTCACTGACAGTCCCTTTTTCTCCAATTAAATTCCTGATTTCTGTTTGTGCTTCTTTCATTATACAAGGTCTCATCATTAGAGCTGTCATAGTCCACACTAATGAAGCAGCCACTGTGTCTGTTCCTGCAACAAATAGATCCTACAGAAGAACAAAGACGAGATATATTTTATTATGTGATAAATAGTTTTTGCAAAATATCTTCTAAACAGTCGGTCGTCATTCATCCTCCACTCATATCCCGTGGGGTATACGTAGCAGCTATAAAATTGCATTATTCTGCAGTAGGAAAACGAGTATCATGAATTTCTACAATAAAGAAAGTGACTACCATGAGTAGGGCTTTGATGTGATCCCAAGTCAGATTGATTGAAGATGAGTTTTGGTCTTTCAATTTAAGCAAGAGATCAAGAATGTCATTCTCTTTAGGCCTGGTTGGATTGAGGTGATGGTCGATGAGTTCTTGGTAGAACAAATCTAACTCCTTGCAGTTCTTCTCAAGGCGATCTGATTTTTTCGTGAATTTATCAAGCCAACCTAATAATGGAAAATAATCAGAGAAATAGAATCCCACCATCAGGGCTTGAGCTTCCGTTACAAGTCTTTCGAACCTTTTCTTTTCATATTCTTCATCGTCATATCTCGTACCAAACGCAACTCTAAAGATTAAGTTGCTGGCTAGAGACATCGCTATCTTGCTTAAGTTTACGAGTTCTGACGAAAAAGCGAGCTTTGATATCTTGTTTACCATGTGGGAAATTTCATCTTCACGAATGGGGCGAAACGACAGAACTTGCTTGTGGCTAAAGAGATGATGGACACATATTTTTCTCATCTCCTTCCAGTGCTCATTGTAAGGTGAGAACGCAATATCCAAGCCATTGTAGGAAAGTTTTTGCTGTCCAAGAACTTGAGGCCTACTACAGAATACAAAATCTTGGTTTTGAAGAAATTCTTTCGCCATTTTTGCAGTAGAAACCACAAGTACTGGCATTGAACCAAGTTTCAAATAGGCCAACGGGCCATACTTTTGGGATAGTTTCCATAAGTACAGGTGAGGCTTGGCTTTATCAAACTGGTGCAAATTTCCTATGAAAGGAAGCCCTAAAGGACCAGGTGGATGTATGGATTTTCTACTGATTTGCTTAGTAAGAATGTAAGGGAATAGCATGAGAGAGAAAATGAATAGGAGAAGAAAATACATTTTGTTGATGGAAACCAGGTTGTGATGTAAATTGTAATGGAACTGGCTTTTATAGACTAAAATATGTGAACCACATTCATATTGTGGAATTGAGATAAACACGTTTGACAAACATGCTTGAAAGTTTGATGTGGTATCCAAGCACGTGGAACATGCTATGCATGGGCGGTGCCCATGAGGGCCAGGTGGGGTACAGGCCAACCCTAAACTTCTGGGCTCAACGACATCCCCCAAATAATTTCTTTTCCTTTTTGTAGTAATGGGCTAATTTGGAGTGAAGCCCAATACAAAAAAAATTTAAAACCAATTCAAAGTTGAAAGGGTCAAAGAGGGCAACTGTACTTGGTTGTACTATTCGATCCTTTTCCAATTGACTTGATTTACTTCATGAGGGAATTACATAATTCCAGGGGTTTGAAGATTGGAATTCAAAAATCAGGGACCAAATTTCATTATTCAAAAATCGGGTAATATATAAAACCCCTAACCCTAGTTTTTACCTATCTACTCCCTCTCCTCTCTGTCTCTCGCCTCCTCTCCTCTCCTCCCCCCTTCCCTTCTCCCAATCGGTGGCGCGAGGGCATCCCATCGGCCTCTGTTCATCGCAGAAGCACTCTTAGTTGTTCGTCGCAGTTCTCACATCTCAGAAGGTCGCTGCGGCTTGGGGATTTGGTAAGATAACCCAAGACCATCATTGACTTATTTTTTGCAATTGTGGGGGAGGGGGGCGATGTGGTGTTAATGGTGTTAGGGATGGTGGTGAGGTGGTGGATACGGATTCAGATTCAGATCTCGTTGCTATTGTGATGGTGTGTAACGATGGTGTTGGTGGCAGTGGCGATGGCTGCGGCTACAGATTTAGATTTCACTACATTTGGTGGCGGAGTGTGATGCTGGAGGTGGTGTAGGATGCTGGCGATTTTGGCGTGTTTGGGTAGCAGTTGTGGTGGTTTCGATCGGGTAGAGGCTGTGGTTTTTGTTGTCGGCGTTGGTACTGGATCTGGCGGTTGCGGTGATTTTTGTTGGATTTAGTGGTGGTGGATCTAGCGGTGATAGTGGTAGTTTTGTAGTTGAAAATGATGGCTGACAGGTGGTGGTGATTCGAAGGTGAAGGTGGGGATGGTGGATGGTACAGTAGTGGCGATGGTGGTTAGATGATGTGACAGTGACTGGGCTCTGGATTTTCATTTTGGGATGGGAGGTAGACAGGGGATAGTCTGTGACCAAATGTTGGTAAACTGTGATCAAATGTTTGGTAATTAATGACCAATTACTCAACTATGATCTAAAAATTTAATAATATGTGACTCAAAAATAATCTTTGACAAATTAATTTAAAAATCTGTGATCTCGAAATAATCTGTGACGTACAAATTTTTTAATCTGTGAACTTCAAATAATATGTGACGTACACAATTTTTAATCCGTGATCTCGAAATAATCTGTGATCAATTAATTTTAAAATATGTGACATGTGACCTATGATTATGTATATGTGACTATTAATTATATAACTATGATCTTATTAATTTAATTAATAAATATTTTTAACTAATTAACTAAAAACCTGATTTTTGCATTAGTCAAACTTAGAACTTGATTTTTGAATTATGTATAGTTAATACCTTACTTTTGAACTCTTCCCTTACTTCATTCCGGAACTTGCCTATTTTTTATTAATATCCCACATATTAATTGATTTTTGACTCTCTCTCTCTCTCTCTCTCTGTTGACCTCTGTATATGGTGTATACATGTGGGGGTGATCACCACGTTAAATTTGCAGTCGAAATCGCACAATAATAATGAAAATTAACTAAGGTTAATTGACTTCAATTTTTAGTAGTTTTCTTCCTTCTAACAAAATCGATTGTGATGGACAATTTATTGGCTAACTTAGAGCTTAACATATACTTTTTAAAATATTTATATTTATAAATAGATAAAAATTAGTAATAGATAATTGAATAGTACTTTAAAATCCAGCTAAATGAGTGGATTAAAAAGAATTTGATTACAGTGGAGAAGAATTCTCTTGCTTACGATTATTTCATCACCCTAAAATGGAGCAGAAAAGCAAGAGGAAAGAGATGATTGGGAGTCAGAGGAATAAAAACACGAACTGTGTTCTCCTTTCAATTTTCTGGAAGCCTGTTTTACCTTTTATGTAATAAGGTAAATAAGGTTTTTTTTCCTTGTTCGTAGATAAGTGTAAAACGACAAATGAGGCCTATATGTCAATTTTTGCATCTCCCCTCATTTCCAGTACCAAAGCAATGAACTGTGAAAAGAAATGGAGAGCTCTTTTTTATGAACAGAAAATAGATCCTTGTCTCTTCCCCTTCCCTCCTACCGGAAGGCTTACAAGGGACTTCGTGGGATTTTGTTATTTTAAGCTATGTTGACAGCAGTTGTTCCAAGTATCTTTTAAATGTTAGGTAGAAATTTTGGAAAGGAAATGGCTGGGATGATCTTTTCTCTTCTTTGGACTTTGGAAAGGAAATGTTAGGTAGAAGCAATGCACTGACCCCAACCAGAGAATTACTCCTACATACCACAATTTTCAGTGCACCAAGCACGAGAGGGTACTCTTAGGACTTGAGAATAAGTAAAAAATGAATTTAGTTTTCATATTCAACCAATAAAAAGCAAATGTCCTTTGCTAAGAAGCGTGGAAATGTGAAAATTTATTGCATATTTTGCTCCCACCGTACTCCTACAACTTATAGCCCATCTTACTACTAATATATAATTGATGCTTATTTATATACTTGATCCATTTCTTTTCACTGTTCATTGCTTTGGTACTGGAAATGAGGGGAGATGCAAAAATTGACATATAGGCCTCATTTGTCATTTTACACTTATCTACGAACAGAGAAAAAAAACCTTATTTACCTTATTACATAAAAGGTAAAACAGGCTTCTAGAAAATTGAAGGGAGAATACAATTCGTGTTTCTATTCCTTTGACTCCCAATCATCTCTTTCCTCTTGCTTTATTGCCCCATTTCAGGGTGATGAAAGAATCGTTAGCAAGAGAATTCTTCTCCACCATAGTCAAATTATTTTTAACCACATATTTAGTAGGATTTTAAAGTACTATTCAATTATCTACTACTAATTTTTATCTATTTATAAATATAAATATTTTAAAAAGTATATGTTAAGCTCTAAGTTAAGTTGTCCATCACAATCGATTTTGTTAGAAGGAAAAAAACTACTAAAAATTGAAGTCAATTGACCTTAGTTAATTTTCATTATTATTGTGAGATTTCAACTGCAAATTTAACGTGGTGATCACCCCCATATGTATACGCCATATACAGAGGTCGAGAGAGAGAGAGAGAGAGAGAGAGAGTATTTCAGAGTAATAAGGATGACAAAGTTTTTGTAGTGGAATGTGTGAAGAAAAAATTGTGTCAATGCTCATCTGAATTGTTAATTTTTTATG